CCAGGTCTTTCTTCTGAGGAACTTCTGGGTGCATTTGAACCTCCAGCTTTTCTGTTAGCTGCCAAGCAGGTTAACTGTTTGCCCCACCAAAGGGCTCCTTTTTGTCCTGGTAGTGTTGCTCAGTTCCAGCCACAGCACAAGTGGTATTTCCCTTCCAGAGACGTGCTTGTGGAAGAATGAACCTAGAATGAACATTAAGTCTAGTTAGTAACAGAAGAGAGGATGAAGGACTTTTTTGTTAGCACTTGTTAATGGCCTTGCTATTATTCCAGTTAAACCAAAATCAAACCAAATCCACTGTCATTGAGTTGATTCCCACTCATAGCGACCCCATTGGGTTTCCAAGCTGCAAATCTTTACGGAAGTAGATTGCTTCATTTTCCTCCTGAGAAGCAGCTGGTAGGTTTCATCTTCTGACCTTCTGGTTAAGCGGCCAAATGCCTCAATCACTACTCCACCAGAGCTCCTGTTACTCCCATTGAGAGGGGTTGAAATAAAGGGTTCCGTCACTCAAAGCTAATTAAGAAAAGACTACATTAAGTATCAATGGCAGTTAAGAGAATGAGGTACTTAGTTGTTTGTGCACACGTGTTTGTATTTCTTTTAAATATTGCTCATATTGCATATACTCTGTAGTAAAGAATCTGGAAGCGTCTTGCTTATTTTAAAAAGCAGAATAGATTACATAAAAGAGCATAATCTTTGACTCAGTTACATGTACCCCATGATAGCTTTTCAGTGAAGTAAGAGTTAGATACTAAATCTTGAATTACTTATCATAATATATTCTTATTTATACAAAATAAGACATGAGATACATGTGTATGTATTATTGTTCGGTTTGTCTTTGTTTGGAGGGTGAGAGCTAGATTTCATCATTCTTTTCTGAATATACCTCTAGCACACAAAACCAAACCTCTTGCTGTCAGGTCAATTCTGACTCATAGTGACCCTGTTTGTAGGATGAAGTAGAAATGCCCCATAGAGTTTCCAAGGCAGTGATCTTTATGGAAGCAGACTGCCACATGTGTTCCACACTACCACTGGTGGGTTTGAACCATTGACCTTTCGGTTAGCAGTTGACAGCTTAACCACTGTACCACTAGGGCTCTTTCTGTAGCATACAAATAGCCACATATTCAGAAAAATTATAGCTTGTTATGTTGTAGTTATATGTAGAATACTTAGGGTGCTAAATGGACAGTGCTGGTTCTGAATTTTAAAAAAAATACTACCTGATGTGCTGCAGTGGTCACTGTGATTTTTCACGGGTTAACACTCTATGCTTATGCTAAATATTATTTCAATTAGAGTTTTCTCATTCAGTCATTTATTTATGGTTCATGATTATCAAACATTAAAATTAGATATTTCTGTGCTGGGAAAGAATTAAGTTGGCTCGGTCCCTGACCTCTAACTTAGATATTGCTTTTATTTCTAAAGTGGCAATCTAAGGTATGAATTTTTTATAGCCTTCATTATAAATTCTCACTGAAAGTATCATCCCTTCCAATTCCCAGCAGATTTCTTCAGAAAGCTGAAGGATGAAATGTAGAGGTCAGTTGAGTTCCCTTTTCATTTGTTAGCCAAAATTAATGGAGTATGTCATGTGGCAATAGCCTTTTCTTTCACAAATTAGACTAAGAGTTATCTTTTGAAAAATTCAAAATGAGAGTTAGTTAAATTAACTAAGTTCATGATTTTCTTTATTTATTGGACAACTTGCCCTTTGAAAGATTTCAAATGGGTTTATTTGAATTGGTTTGTTTTGATCAAATTATAGCTTTATTTTGAATTTATATACATTGCACATCAAGTGCAATAGAAAAGATAAAGTTGTATCTTCTAATTCTAACCACTCAAATTCACTGCTGTCCAGTCGGATCTGACTCATAGTGACCACTCCTTGGGTTTCCAAGGCAGTATCACTACAGAAGTAGATTGCCCAATTTCCTTCCGAGGAGTGGCTGGTGGGTTTGAACGACTAGCCTTCTGGTGAGCAGTCAAATGTCTTAGGCACTACTCCACCAGAGCTCCTATTCTAACCACAAACGTAAGTATATATGGTAGAAAATTTGCATGGTCTTTGAAACACATAAATAGATTTAAAGAATTTGTGGAATAACTGTACAACTTATTCTTTTATTCAAGAAATATTTCTTGAGAACCTGCTGTATGTTTGGGGGAGTCCATTGGGCCAGAAGGAACACCAATTGCAAAAGTCTGAAGGAAAATCATACATTATGTGTTTGAGGAATTGGAGGAGTCAGTATGGTGGCAGTAATTTGGGACATGTAAACTTTGAGATTCCTGTTAGACAGTCTAAATCTGGTAGGCAGGTAGATACATAAGTCTAGAGCTCAGGGGAGAGGCCTGGAACCAAAGATATAAATGTGGAAATTGTCAGAATATAGATGATATTTAAAGTTAAGAGGCTAGATGAAATCACACACAAAAAGTATGTGTTGCTAGAGAATATTTTGAGAGGTAAGAGAGATGAGGAGGAACCAGAAAATGAGCCTGAGAGGGAGTAGCATATTACTAAGCAAAAAATAATCAGTAGAGTGTGACGTCCAAGAAGCCATTTGAAGAGTGTGTTTTCTGGAAAGAAGGGAGCAGTAACTGTGTCAGATGTTGCCAGATGGTCAAGTGAACTGAGCACTGAGATCTGACCACAAGATTTGTCATTGTGAAGGTCATTGGTGACTCAGAAAAGAACAGTTCAGTGGAGGGAAGAGGCAAAAAAGCTTGATTAGAAATAGAAAGAGGAGGAGCAGATTTGAAGACATAGAGTATAATAACAACTATTTCAAGGAGTTTTGCTGCAAAGGGGAGCAAGAAATGGATTGGAAGCTGGAGGTGGAAAAGTGTTTTACTTTGTTTGGTTTTGGTTGTTGTTAGCTGCTATTGAGTTGGCCAATTCATGGTGACCCCATGCCCAGTAGAATGAAACACTGTCTAGTCCTGCAAATTCGTCATGATCACTTGTGGATTGGACAGTTGTGACCCACAGGGTTTTTCTTATTGTAAATAGGGGGAAGTAATAGCAAGTTTGAATGCTGATAGGAATGCTCAGTAGAGAGGGATTAATTAATGATGCTGGAGTGAGAGGAGAGATTTACTGGAGCGCGTCCTCACGTGTGAAGGTAGAAGAGATCTCTTGCCTAAGAGGAGGTGTCAGCAGTGAGTGGGAGCATGGAAGGTTCACTTGTCGTAATAGGAGAGAGGGTAAAATTCATGGGTCCAGATGCTAATAAATGCATGGATACGGTGGTGGAAAGCAATCCTTGTGATCACTTCTGTTTTCTCAGTTAAATAGGAAGCATCATTACTGAGATGTATGAGCTTGGAAGAGGTGGTATTAGAAGTTTGAGAAGAGAGGAGAAATGAAAGTCACCTGGGATGGTGGGGTAGTGGATAGGGTAGGGGAAGTTTGTTGATCGTTGAACTTCAATAGAAGTTGTTTTGAAGGTTGTTGTTGTTGTTTTGTGCCGTCGAGTCAGCCCTGACTCATAGCGACCCCTCCTTGGGTTTCCGAGGCAGTATCACTACGGAAGTAGGATTGCCCAACCTTCCTTCCGAGGAGTGGCTGGTGGGTTTGAACCGCCAGCCTTCTGGTTAGCAGTCAAGTGCCTTAGCCACTATGCTACCAGAGCTCCCTGTTTTGAAGGTAGTGGTTATGAATTTAAAGTGAGCCCAGTCAGCATGGTTAGGTTTTTCTTCAGCCACCTTCAAGTGCACGGGCATAGGAATGGGAAAGACAGAAAACCGAATTTAGCCAAAGTTGTTCTGCTGGCCCAGTGTGACAGTGTGAGAGGGAGGATAGGGAATTGGGGGTGTGTGTAAGCAAGGAAGTGCCTATAATGAAGAACTGTGGAATTTAAACCAGCTAAGAGAGAATTGACAGTGTGGAGGTGGCGAAGATCAGAGTATAGATGATAATATCCATGGCTTTTAGGTTCTGGTAGGGATCAGTAGTTTGTTGGAGTCAGTAAAGTAGAGAAAATGAGCTGGAAAAGGGAGTAGTGGTGATTGGGGATAGGGGTGTGAAATATTAGTGGGGCAGGCGGATTGGATTGATTGGTAATGACAGCATGTGGAGTCTGACCCTGGTCGTGACTGAGGCAAGGCAGACAAACAATGAAAGCACAGAGAATTGAGACAGGAGTATGTTAGGTAGTGACAGTAAACCAGGAGCTAAAATCCTCAAGAAATTGGAACTAGTCGTCAGTAGATGACTATAATGAGGGGTGATGAGTGGAACTATCTAATTACATGGGAGGTCTGGTGGTGTAGTGCCTAAGGCACTTGACTGCTAACCAGAAGGCTGGCAGTTCAAACCCACCAGCCACTCCTTGAAAGGAAGGATGGGCAATCTACTTTCGTAGAGATACTGCCTTGGAAACCCAGGGAGGGGTAGCTATTAGTCAGATCCCACTCGATTGGCAGTGAGTATCTAATTACATGCAAATCATGTGAAGATTTTTAGGGAGAACAGAAGTGAGGAGCAAGAGGTACACCTAGCCCATCACTAGGTTCAGTGGTCAAGGGTTATCAGAGAAAAACATTTCTCACTGCTTCTGTCGGAAAGCAATATCCTCAGGGAGAGTCAGGTTTCTGTTAGAACAAGATTGTAAGTGAGCCTTCAACAGAGACTGCATTTCAGGGGAGGCTTTCAAAGTTGGGAGAAGTAGAGAAGAGGACAGGGGATGCTGTGTTTCATATGGGGATTCGAATGTGGAAATGAGGGCTGACCCAGGAGTCTAGAGCTTTTTGTAAGTGACATAAACACATAAAGGACATATTGAGATTGTCCTAGTGATCTAAGGGTAAGCTAATGGGGGCAAGACTATAAGTGTTTCTGGGAAGGAGGTGGGCTCCTTTTCTTGCCTGCAGATAAAGATCTGGGAAGGGGCTGGTTTTCTTTTGAATGTGTGGAGTAAGTGCCCAATATGTTAGATATCTTTTACATTTTATCCTATTACTTTTTATATTTACAGATCATTAGTAATCATCAGCACTTTAGATGGGCGAATTGCTGCATTGGATCCTGAGAACCATGGTAAAAAACAATGGGACTTGGATGTGGGATCTGGTTCCTTGGTTTCATCCAGCCTTAGCAAACCGGAGGTAAGAATTTTCTATTAAATTCTGTTTGGAAAATTGAGTTATAATGAACAATTGCTAATACTAATAGTACGTATTTGCTTACAGAGCAGGGACTCGGAATCCAGTTGCCTGGATTTAAGGCCTAAATGTCTCTTACTAGCTGAGTCCCCTTGGGGCAGTTTCTTAACTCTGTCACTCATTTCCTCTGTAAAGTGGGGTTGATAATAGCACCTACTTTGTAGGGTTGTGATAGGTATTAAATGACTTAATCATTTAAGGGTACTAGCTGCTGTGTCACTATAACTCATTAAGTATAACATTATTAGAATTTCTTCTACTACTACTACAGTAATAGTAGTAGTAGTAGTAGTAGTAGCATCATAGGGTTCCTAGGAATAATAAGACAAATGTGAATAACTGAATTTTACTAGTTAGAAATCCATGCTGTGAAAGGTCCAAAATTACTCCTTACATTTTCCTTCAAATATAAATCCTAATTGTAAGCATAGTTCTTCTGAAGTTTTCTTGGAATATGGTTTTAGATAAATTTGATTATTTACAGAAAATGTGTACTTAATAATTCTGAGCTCTAAAAACAATAGAGGGAAAGAGCATAGATTCAGGGACACTTTGCTTCCAAAACTTCTCTGGCCCATGACTCCAAAACTTGGGCTAATGACTTAGTCTCAGAGCCTTTGCCTGCCTTGATGAATTGTGGAGAGGATTAAATGAGATCAGGTTTATTTTCTATCAATCAGACTATGCTAGGTCTGACTGATTAAATCTTTCTTCTTTTCTGTAGACTTAACTCTGTTATGTAAATCATTTCAAATATGCCAGCTCCTCACTTTGTTAGGTTTCAAAGACTAGGTGGTTATACAAAAATCAGTGTTAGGTAAAAATGGAGAGTAACCATGTCAGATCACAAAATGGAGGATGATTGCATCATTACATAATTGCCAAATCACGTCATTACATAACTGCCAAACCACTAAGAATCATGGCCCAGCCAAGTGACACATAACCTTAACTATCACAGCCACTGTTACTCTTGCCTCACGCCTCAGCATTGTTACTGCCAGACATATGTCGTTAATGCACAAATTAGTTGGATAGTAGATTTTTTTTACTCTTGTAAATGTAAAATGTCGGATAACAAGATAGTTGATAGGTAAGTGAGGAGTAGGTGTAATTCAGTGTTCTGAGTGTTAACATGGAAGCAGTCATCTCTGTCTCCCAGAATGCCCTCAGCCTTCTGCTATATTAGGTTGTTCCTACAGTACACTCCCTGGGGTAGTCTTTTTCTTTCTTCATCAATCTTTTGTTTTCAAAAAGCTTTCCAGCTAGTATTAGGGAGCTCTGGTAGTGTAGTACCTAAGGCACTTGAGTGCTAACCAGAAGGCTGGTGGTTCAAATCCACCAACCACTCCTTGGAAGGAATATGGGGCAATCTACTTCCGTAGTTATACTGCCTCAGAAACCCAAGGAGGGGTCGCTATGAGTCAGGTCCGACTTGACGGCACATAACAACAACAACAAAAGCTAATATTAAGTTAGGAGAAGACAAAACTTAACAAGAGGGCCTTAAAATGACCAGAGTGTTGTGATGGAACTTTCTGATGGGTTGACTCAACAGCAACTGTAATTACAGTGACCCATCTGTAATAACAGCCTGTCCTTTGCTCTCCAGTAAACCCAGCCTGAATTTCTTTTCTGGAGCACATGGGCGGGTACTTAGGGGAATAGCATTGCCCAGAATCTACATTTGCTGTATTCTGAGTCCTGACTGTTTTTGTCAGATAGTATACTGAAAATAGTTGTACCTTTAGGTGGCACAAACAGTTAAGTGCTCAACTACTAGCTGAAAGGTGGTCAGTTTGAACCCACCCAGTGGTGCCTCAGAATGCAGGCGTGGCATCCTGCTTCTGAAAGGTCACAGCCTTGAAAACCCGAAGGAGCAGTTCTACTCTGTATACATAAGGTGGCCATGAGTCAGAATAGAATTGATGGCCACTAAAAACAACACACTGAAAATATCTCCTGGGGACAGAAGACTTCATGGCATTATGAATTATTAATACAAACAACATTTAGTTGTAAATTACATAAAAAATTTTCAAATGGGGTATGGTATTCAAATGAATTATTACCCAAACAAAACTTTTATTTATTTGTGTTCTGCTGGGATTGTGTTTGTATATGCACATTTTCCTTTATTTTTAAACTAGACATATATGGTGATCAGGAGAGTCAGAAGATTGTAAGCTGCTTACATCTGAGGTAATAGCACAGTGTGTTGTAGTGGTACAAAGCATGTGCATATATGAAATATACACATGTGCAAAAAGATAAATTGCATGGTAGGGCAAAGTAGAATGAAGACAGATATGATAACCCGTATGCCATTGAGTGTGTTTAAATGATATTTAACTAGCTGTACTGGAAGGTTTGCTTACCTGTAGCAATTAGCTGTTTTTAAAACTACAGTTCAACTTTCTCATCATTCTTAGTCCTTACTATTTTCTGTGGTTTCTTAAGGCTTTCTTGTTTAAAATGTCCTCCTCCTCTCCCATCCCCAACCTCAGGTCATTTGGATAGAATGCTTTGAAGTGTTAAATTGTAAGCATGTTCAAAAAGTGTTACTCTGTCACCTTTCACAGCAGTAAGTGAAAAGGTCACCCGCTACCTTTTTCTCTGTACAAGAGAAAAAGATGGATACCTCTTTGCATTATCTTGTTGCGTTATCTAGATTTTAATTTTCTACTTTATATGAAAAAATTGAAAATTATTAAACCATCTGTGATAACATGATAGGTTTACTCACTTTTACTGTTGCTCCAAGTTCTTAGATCTGTTTTGTGGGACTGTGTTACAAATGGTTAATGTGCTCAGCTGCTAATCTAAAGGCTGGAGGTTTGAGACCACCCAGAGGCACCTCAGAAGAAAGGCCTGGAGATCTACTTCTGAAAAATCAGCCACTGTGGACCCTGTGGAGCACAGTTCTACTCTGACTCACACAGAGCTGTCATGAGTTGGAATCGACTCCACAGCAACTGGTTGCTTTTATTTATTTATTTTATTTTATTTTAAAAGCTTGTTTTACATTCAGCGTTACGTGTACATTTAGTTTCATGGTTGTTTTGTGTTTAATTTTCACAGTGATCTTCCTGAGGCTGATATGTCGGTCTCATTTTGTAGAAGAGGAAACTAAAACACAGAGACATTATGAGCTTGAAGTCGCAAGCTGCTATATGGTAGAGCTGGGCTAGTACCCAAACTTGCCTGCCTGCTCTGAGCCCTTTGCTCATGCTTGTTATACTTCCCCTTTACAGTCTTAAGACTGTTCATCCAGGAGAGTGGGTCTTTAACTTTTTGATATCAGGACCCTTTTGCACTCTTAACGATTATTGATGGCTTTGTTTTCATGGGTCATGTCCACCAGTGTTTACCATATTAAAAATTAAAACAAAAATTTAAAAGATTTCTATATTAATTCATTAAAAATAGCAGTGATAAACCTATTGCATGACCACATACATATTTTATTGAAAAGAAAGTATTTTTTCTGAAAATAAAATTAATGAGAAAAGTAGCATTGCTGTACATTTTTGCAAATCTCTTAATTTCTGGCTTAGTAGAAGACAACTGGATTCTCATATCTGCTTCTGCATACAATCTATTGCATTGTAGTTGTGACTAAAGAGGAAAATCTAGCCACATACATACATAGTTGGAAAAAATAGGAGCATTTTAATAACCTTTTTAGATAACTGTAGTCATTTACATATTTTTTTGATACTACACCAAAACATTTCTTAAAGGTTAGTTATATTGTGAAACCTGAAACTATGTCAATGAACGTTTGGTGCTGTTACATAAGCATTCCTTGGTTCATCTTGCCTTCGAATGGATCTTTTATCTATGCATGATTTTCTAACATCATTGAAAATATTGATTCACTGACTTACTACTCAGATCTTCCAAATGTTGACATACATTCCTATAGAATATTTTAAAAAATGAAATTTGTTACTATCACTACTGGTTTCATTAGAAAAGTCTTTAAATATTGGGAATTGTCAAGCTCATATTGGTAGATGAAAGTTTTCCAAAATTCTGATTTTTGCTTGAAAACTTGAGTTGTATCACAAATACTGTCATTTTTTTACCTTGAAGTAAGGAGTTCCACTTTGTTTAATTTTGAGACAATGTCTGCCAAGTAACCTAGTCTCCTAACCATAGTTTTTCTTTCAGTGGATTTTTCAAGCAACACTGGAGTTCTGTGAGCAGAGCAGCTAGTTCAGCTTGCAGCTCAATTGCATTAGTGCTTTTCCTCAAGACATAGCCCAGTATGTGGCACAAGTACTTCATGCATACTTCCTAATTAGTCATATAGGATAGTAAAAGCATGTGTACTCAAGGGTTAAGATTAACTGAAGTGACTTTTATTGCTTCATGAAGAACACTCCTTTTTTTTCTATGATTTGACAAGGAGGAACACAGTGACTGCTAGTGCAGTTTGGTGCTTCATTCAGCTAAGATACCAGCAGTTTTGTTCACCTTTGTTTTCACACCATCTGTGCAAATATCAACACAGTGAAAGACAAATAACAGCTTTTTATGAAAACCGTTTTGACTTTGTGGGTCTCCAAAAGAGCCCACAGACTACACGCATGAGACTTGCTGATCTAGTATATAATAGAAATATTAGAAGAATGAGTATTTGTAAGATTATCAACATATTAATAAGGAAAAAGGAATTATTGTGAGCTTGAGTCATTATTCTTCAGCAAGATGTGTGTTAAATATAGAAATTATGTTTAGAATTTGGACAAAATAGCACAAAAAAGAAGATTAAAAACTTCATTTGGAATACACTAAATTGAATGCATAGGGAGCTCTGATAGCATAGGGCCTAAGGCACTTGACTGCTAACCAGAAGGCTGGCAGTGGTTCAAACCACCAGCCACTCCTCGGAAGGAAGGTCAGGCAATCTCCTTCCATAGTGATACTGCCTCGGA